TTGCATGCATGACATATGTGTACTTTCTGCAAAGAAAGAATGCAGAACTATGTTCCAATACCTTCCTGGAGTTCCTGAACTACCAAAAAAGTCACTACCCACAGTTTCTGGTCGCTCAGTTTCGCTCAGACAATAGACGCGGAGAGTATGACAATGAGCTTTTTAAAGGACTTCTCAGAGAGAAAGGGATAAGCTTTGAACCATCTGTACCTTATTCACCACACCAGAATGGTGTAGTAGAGTGTATGATACAAACAATAACCACACATGCCCATTCTATTCTGCTCAATGCTGGACTATCTATTGACTTTTGGGCAGAAATTGTCAATACATCTGTTTACTTGCAACAGTGAATACCTTCGACCTCTCTTGACAATAACCCTCCATATATTATCCTGAAGTCTGTCTCTCAAATAGAGTATACTACTACTACAGCCTCGGAAATGCCCCTATTGACCTACTCGATTAACCATCTCCGAAGAATACACTGTATGCCCTATTGGAGAACTCCCGATGCTACGGTCCCGAATCTCCCGATTCTGATATCAACTGTTTTGTGTGGTAAAGGAGAAAAGAAAGGAAAAGGGGAAAAAGAAAAAAAGAAAAAGCCTGGCTCTTCTCCTCTCGTAAGTGATAAAACGTAGCTTTACGTAGTTGACCACGTGCCCTGACTTCGAATGTTGGGCCAGAGGAACGGGAGAGCCGCATGAACGCTGCCAATCACGAACGAGAGTCTCATTATGACGAGAGACTCGTCATCTCTTATTCTCCGCAATCATCACACCGGAGGTGCTATGTGTGCGATAGTCGATTGGCGTAATTGAAATGAGAAAGAGAAAAGGGAAGAAAAAAGGGGGGCGGGGTGGGAGAATCACTGGGCTGGAAGGTATGTATCTCTCGAAACAACACACCGGAATTCCTCGAATTCCGATTTGGTTCGCCAAACTGGCACTGAGGGAGGGATACATGAGTAGACTTGTGTGGTCAAATAGGTGACTGGTAGGGCTAGTTTATCCGAGTGATACGTGATGACCACGATGGACGTAGACTTCCTGAGGAGGGGACTTTTAATAGCCGGAGATATAGGCGGTATTTAGAACGAGACAACGCATGGCCGGTGGTTGGCTGTCTTGAAGGTATCGAGTGATCTGCACTTGCAGCCTCGGGCCGGAGGAAAAAAACAAAAAAAGACGCATCGTCAGTCCACTTTGAACTGTGATTTTCCTCGCAAACCCCATCGAACACATTGGATATTGGAAGGAAGGGGGGAGTTTGACCTCATCGCCTAAGGGGGTTTGCTGTCATTTTTTGCGGGGAACATGATCTGTGTCGTATCAGTGTTTCCTGGGCCTCACATTAGGGAGGATTTTACGACGGATAGCTAAAGGAGGGACACCAATTGGGTTATGACCCATCTTATTTTCGGATACGTGGATGATCGGGTTGACGTCTCTATCGACATCGCTCCCACAGTCTTTATTTTTGGAACGTCGGTTACACAGATGGGGCCGGAGCCGGGAATGGAAATTCTGGAATGCCAGGGAGTAAAACATCGTATTTGGAGGAGCGATTTGGAAGCTTATACTGTACCCAATACTGGCTGCGAAATGGCTGATTTGTTGACTCGGTCGCTCCAATGGACTCTCCCCAGCTCACTCGAGATCCACCGCCTCGCGCCACGTTCTGACTGTTCACCAATTGGAGTCGTCTCACGGCTTCGCAAACGTGCCATTGTGAAACCTGTGGGAAACTTTTGAAAATCACGTGCTTGGGAAGAGTTCTCCAATCACCCTCTTGGCCTTACCTTTCTTCCGGAGGATCAACTGGCTGGGAGACCGCACTTGCCAAGCGTAAAGTGTATGGCTAGATTCTAGTCAGCTGGTCAGTTGATTTCCTGCGCTTGGGTGGAAAAGTCACCCTCACAGGTACTGTACAACCGGTATAAATTCGCAGAAGGATCAGGGGCATGCAGGGACGAGTGATTAATCGTGGTCTGTGACCATTTCCTGATCGGGGTTTCCGGTTGATCAGCAGGAGGATGTAATAGGTAAAAGCGAAAAAGGTTTCTACCGTCTCTTTTCCCTTCTTCCCCCTGGTGGCGCAAGTGTGCGGGGACATTGGGTTCGGCTTCGTGGGAGGCAGGAGGAAAAATGCGACTTCTGTCGCCATTACCCCACCGTGAGCTTTCACACACTACGGCTGACTTGTGGGATCTCGGGCATATAAATCTTTCTGATTTGGTCTATCATACATATTTTTGCCACCCAAGCAGTACCGGTATGTTACGGATGCGGGTCGGTCCGGAATCTTGTCAGGTTGGTTTCCACCTGAGCCCCTTTGCTCCGTGGCGGCCCGTATCTGCTGGAGCCATGTTTTACTTCCAGAGCAGGGATTTTCAGATCTGGTTGGTCGGCGGGACGGCCTCGGAGTGGTCAACTTTGTTTCAAGAAGGTTCCAGACGATAATGCCATAATTGGAGTCAAGAAAAAATAATAATAATCATAGCGGGGAGAAGCTTCTACCGTACCGTAGGACCGGTTGGTGAGCTAGAGTGGATGGATTTGCTTTTGAAGGGGCTATGCACAAGCCACTGGTTGTTTTCTCCACTTTCTAGCTGACTTGGATCGCTAAGCTAATCGAGTTATATCCAGGGATTCTCACTCAAAATAAGCCAAGGGTGGGGGGTGGTGGTGCCTATGTGCCTCCAACAGCGGATGGCACTCGTTATGCGCACGACAGCGAGGAACAAAAATTGCCGAGGGCCTCCTAAAAGCTTGGGATATGAGCCCAACCAAGAGTTCGCATCATATTCGGCGATATCCCCCCGGGTTTTTCGAAATCCCTCCCTTCTTTCTGCCTCCCCAGGGTCGGTGGAAAAAATATGACCAAGGTATGCTGCGTTACATAATTTTTTTGTAGTGAGATGCTTACACAATTATAGGTTACACCACAAATCCAGACTGCGACCAGAGTTTATGTTTGTTCAAGAACTAACGGTTCGATCATTGACCAAGCGGAATGGCTAACTTAGATAATAGTTCTAACGGTGTGCTCAAATTCTTGTTTACGTATGACATCGCATACTGCGTTATAATTCCTGAGCCCCGAGAACAGTCTTGCTATGGCCAGGCTTCGGGCCCGTAATATACGGTACAGCATGCCCCTAAGGGTGAATCTAAGCCCAGGGCATCCATCTTCGTGGTCTTGACAGGACGGGGAGCAGAAATCAAGAGGCGCTTGAGGCAGATGGGCACTTGGTCGTCCGTCGCGTCCGGACGGCTGTCAGCGGCAGACACTTATAGCACCGCTACAAATTTCTTTTAAGTTACTCGAAATCTATAAATTAGCTTTCGGACCGAGTACCGAGTCCACGTAACCTCTTCCCCTTACATATCTTTGCCATCGGATATTCACCACACTGATGGAAAGAGCCTATAGTACGGTGGAAGGAAAACAACGACAGTTTAACCAGGGACATAAAAAGTAAGCTTTCAAGAGCAACCCGGAACAGTTCCTTTCGCATACAGTTGCGCTGCCATCCGAGACCTGCATTTGTTAGGACGATTGCAGTTCCGGGAAGAGATCCGAGAATAGGCCTCCGGGGTCAATATCGGTCGCCGCTAGCCCACGGGCCAACGCCCGAGAGGGGTCCTGCTGCTGTGAAACTATGGAGGTGGGTGAGGGCTTTGTGGTTCTCTACCTAAGCCGTAAACGGCCTCGACGCAAACGAGGGATAAAAACCTATTCTCTGCCAAATTCCCCCCAACATATAATTAGGATTCCCTACTCTTTTAAGCATATATGAGAAAAATACAGGTATTGCTATAGAAATTATGGTAGTGCTTTGTCTCTGGAAGTATGATATGATACATAACTTTCTTTTTCGGCTTAGGTTATGAACTATTTTCACGAGACACCATGGTATTTCTATATTAGCGCGCGTCGAACAGGGCCGAAGTTACCTACCCGCCGTTTGGATCGCTACCCAGACGCCCGTATGGCGGCTCGGCGGTGCCAGGGTAATATATATAAATTATTGAACCCCACGACCAACGAAAGCAAAGAGGCCCTGCAAACTAATGGAGGTTATGGGGGAGGATTCCTGGTTCTGCGCGAGTCTTACCGTGGAATTCCCAGGCTGCCGGGCATCCTGATCTTATTCCTCATGGCTGAGCGCAAGACGACAGCACCATCATATATAGCACCCCCGCGTTACTCACCATACATCTACTAGCCCAGGAACCCTACCACAAATCTACCCCCCAACCACATGACGGAAAAGATCACATAGTCCCTAGTTACCATAAACGGGCATCCGTGTATGATACTCTGCATACGGTACTGCACTTGGAATGCAGGAACATTCCAACGCCAACTACGGACCCGTCCCAATGCGGGGGCAGGCGAAATAAAGTTTTGACGTATGAGCGCTACCGGTAACCTCGCCAACCACTCCCCCGACTAAATTGTGCCCGGTAGCGCACTGCCAGCCGAAAGTCTTCGGGGAGGTGTACGGACATATACGCCCAGGATAATTGGTCATCGCCTTGAGATGCTTTTGTCACTCACCTGCAGGGCTTCCGGCAGGAGCAGTGGATTAGGTTGGGCTATAAGGTTGATGGGACGGTAATAAGAGCTTTTTGTTGGACCTGCTTTGGCCATGATATGCTGGCAGCACTGGGGAAAAGCATTGTCATGGTTAATTTCTCCCAATGAAGTGAAACAGCATTGCCGAAACACTACCAAGTCTACAAAGGAAACTAGGCGCACAGAATACCATTCACGACAACCGTCAAAACCTTCTCCGCCTCCTCTCCTCACTTGACCCATCAAGAACAAAAGCCCCCCCTCCCCGCCTCCCAATTCTCCCCCCTTCCGCGATCATCACAACCAACCAGCCCCTCTATCACGAACTCCTTAAACCACCCTCATCGCCGCCCCAGCCCTTCCTTCCCCCAACCAAACCAATATTCCGAGTTGACCTCAAACAAGATATCAAAATGCTCCTAATCAAGGCGGCAATCCTCTCCTTCGCTCTCTCTGCGGCGAACGCTCACATGATACTGAGGAACCCACCCAGCTTTGGGTTCATAGGAAACAAACTCTCCACGAAGCCCGACGTAGACCTGAACGCTCCAATCTCCAAAGCCCAGTTCCCCTGCAAGGGCTACCACAAAGACCCCGATCGTGGAGCAGGAAAAAGCGTGGCGACCTGGGCCGCCGGGAGCACCCAGAGCTTCAGGTAGGAGAGATATCCACCCAGACTATCACCTAAGCATTAAGCAGGCACTAACGTTTCGGGACAGCCTCGCCGGCGGAGCGCCCCACGGCGGTGGCAGCTGTCAGGTCTCCCTCTCATACGACAATGGCGAGACCTTTAGGGTTCTGAAGTCGTTCATAGGGAATTGCCCGTCCGCCGACACGGGACGCGAGTACTCTTTCCCTATCCCGCGCGATGCCGCTAGCGGCGCGGCGATCTTTGCCTGGACTTGGTATAACAGGATCGGTAATCGCGAGCTGTACATGGGATGTGCGGCTGTTACCATCACCCATGGCGGGAGTGGGCTGAACAGCTCGTTTCCGAAGATTTTTGTCGCAAATATTGGGGAGCAGTGCACCACTGTCGCTAACGCCGTGTTGGAGTTTCCCAACCCCGGCGCTGTGGTGGAGAGGAGCGGGGAGGTGGCATTGAAGCCGGAGGGTGCGGGGTGTGTCTAAGTTTTTTTTTTTTTGTGGCGGGGGGGTTCAACGATTTGTTTGGAGGATTCATGGTTGTTGCTCGATGTTTAGATCGGAGTGTGTATATGGTATTCAGAGTTTGTCTGGTGCTTAAGTTTAGATATTGGCTGTTCCACAGTTCGGGTCTCGATAAGTGGCATCGAGTGAGTGAGCATCAATGAGCGGCACGATAATGAACTCAGCGCAGGTCGGTGGCGAACCAGCTTCCTGAAGCAAAACCGGTCCTAACTACACACCATATGCTACCTGATGCGATTCCTCGTGGGTATCTGTAAAACCCCCCATATATAAGCTGACAGGACTTAAGCAAGCCCCACGTACTGTACTGTACACCTCGCGCGGGTTTTTGGCATGTATACATATATGATGTATACATATATATATGGGAGAGCTGCGTTAGATGTGTATATGCGTTCCTGGAGCCCAGGTTACTGCCCCAATGTTTCGTTAAGAGTAGATATATTCTCGGGGCACTCGACTATGGGATACTGCGTGGCTGGGGATAGGAAATGTGTTTGACTGTGGCGATATCCACATCTATTCCTGCATAATATTATTATGATACCATCTTATTGGCGTGAGTGCTCGCTGTAACTGTATTTCCTTCCTTTCCCTTCTAACTCGTCCAATAAAACCATCGACTGAAAGATATCTAGATGGTCTGTAAAAACGAGTGATTGTACATGATCATTCGACCATCCATTCTAGATGGTATATTTCATTCATACATATGATACATCTACTGTACACACATATATACGCACCCCCTCCCGAACGAAAGAACTGTGATACAACACAAATTTCACTCAGCCGCCCAACCACACCATTCAAGCAGCAGATGTGGTGTTCGAAGTGTCCACCGGCCTCTCGGGCCAGACACTCCCGGTCCCGCTCCAGACCTTCAGATCCACGATCTCGGCTTCAACCCCCTCGCCGACATAAACCCCGACACCGAGCGCATCATCACGGGCCGGATAAACCCTGGTTGTGAGCGCGAACCTGCCGCCGACGAATACCTCCACGAGGCTTCCATCGACGAAGATGTTCATTTCTATGTCCTCGACTACTGCTGCTTCTCCCACGCCATAGTCTTCACCGCCGTGGCCGATATCACGGCGGTGGGAGATTGTGTAAGGTTTGTAGTCCCCGCTCGCGGTGAGATTGCTGAACTGTTTGATGAGCGAGGACTTTGACCTATCGACGGCGACGAGGTTGTTTGCTGGATCGAACGTGATGGTGGTGACCTCCTCACCCCCCGGCGAGGCGCGAACCGTGAACCCGACCGGGCCGTCCGCCCCCCCGCGAATGGTGGCCGATAATTCGAAATGGTCGGAGGAAATGCCATCCAGTTTCTCCGGGCATGTGTACCTCCTGTCCTTGATCTGGTGCTGCTGTGCTCTTCGGCGCAGGCGCTCGACCACGCCTGGGAGAGGCTTTATGCCCAGGCTCGTCAGGGTGAAGGTTCCGTCTGGACCGGGCTTGGAGTACCTTGCGTTTGTTGGAGTGCTGGCGGTTTTGTTGTCTGCTACCACCTTGTAGGTCTTGTGGACGAAGAGTTCCCGGGGCAGGCCCATGGCGCCTTGAAAGCCTTGGGCGTTCACGCCGTAGTCGTTCATGTCTGGGGGCGTTCGTTAGTTAGTTTATTGCGGGGGTGGGGGATTCGTACCCTCCTGACTCCAACCCCAGGTCACGCGGCGACACCCTTTGGTGTCGTTGAAGCTGGTGATAGCGTAGAGCTGTTCTTGTCAGTTGCTCCATCTTCTCGTCATGGGGACCTAGTGAGGATAAACATACATTACCCCAATCTGCAGCTCCAACGGCGACAGGGTCGAATTGAGCGGAGCCATTAGCGCGACGACTCATCTCTCCCTCGGCCCACAACGACCAACGCCCGTGTCCGGGGACGCCACCTCCCTCAGCTCCCATAGTAGCAAAAAAGTGATCATTTCCCTGCTTATCTTTCTACATCTTCCATCTCCTTTAGCATTCTAGAGGCCGGAATCAGGGAGAGGGATATAGCCTACCAATGAGAAAAATCCGGAAACCTCAAAGTTAAACCCATAAGACCCCGTCTCCAGCACATCCCCAAATGTCTCGTTATTCTTCGGCTCCCAAAGCGCGCCCAAGAAAGTCCACTGAGTAAGGTTCCTAGCGGGCGCAGAATAGAACGGAATCCTCGGCCCAACACCACGGATTCCACTTCCCATAACCATATACCAATGTGGTTCGGTCTTGTTCAAAAGAGCATCCATTTCCGGCCAGGGAAGGTAGAAAGGATCACGCCAGCCGGTGATGTTCCACCCACTCGGGGGATCGATCATAATCGGGTTACCAGGATACTTCCCCCACGTCTCCCCGCCGTTGTGGGAGAGAGCGAATGACTGCGATTCGGTATTCGGGATGTACGGGATGTTCCAGGCCGTTGGTAGAGCGCTCACACTGGTGTAGAAGAGCGCGAGAGTGCCATTGACCTCGCCTTGGAGATTGACAGCGTGCCCGGTGCCGGAGAATACTCCTTTGGAATCATAGGTGCCCGGCCCAGTCACTAGGGCTGCGGCGGCGTCGCCTTTCCACCCGCCCACGTCGACCCAGTCTACCATGTCGCGGGAGACAGCATGGCCCCAGGAGATGTTGCCCCACTGGACACCGTTGGGGTTCCACTACACTCGATTGTCAGGAACGCTTGATTGCGAGTGTAAGGTGGGGAATTGCCTGGTACATGAGGTGGTAGATATCCCTCGTCGGATCGTACATTGCTCCACAAGGGTCCTATAGGAATATTAGCAGCTATCTCGCCCAATTGTCGGCAAATAGGGAACGTACGTTCAGCCACCCCCGAGGAGCAGTAAAATGATATGTCGGACGCCACTTCGTAAACAAGCTATTCATCGGCAATTCGGTCAGGTTAGTGTTGGCATTGATATCAAGGCCCACCGCGAGGCTTCCGGCCAGCAAAGCGAGGAGAACGGTAGAGCGGAGCATCTTTGCTGTTTTTGCTACCGCTGCGACACTGGGAGTTTTCAGTTGATCGCGCTGAGGGGGGGGTAGGCTTATATCATAGCTAGTATTAGCAACCGCAAGGGGACGGCTCGAGTGGACGGGGAGATTGTCAATCGCGGGCTGATCGCCGGGGGGCTAGTAGGCTAGTGTGACCCCATGCTGTAGCACCTGTGACGGCCAAGGAATACCTTATTAAGTTAAATTGCATGATACCGGGTACCGTAGAACAGCTGGCAGACTGCAGCTCAGTGTATGCTTAACGCCAGCCCTGGAACGAGCGCAGAGACACTGGAGGACTTCCCGTGAGTCTATCGGGATCGAGGTCTATTGGAATAGAGAGCTGAATAGGGAGGTTTTGCTGCGACGGTCGTCGTGCGAACTGTCCTTCTCACCACAGCAACGGCACTAACCTTTCCAATTGTGCCATAGTGCTTTGTGGCTCAGCTTTGCACAGTCTTAAGAACAGTTCTTAAATAAGACGGTCGCCGAGGAGTTATATTTACTAGTTTGTTGACATGAAAATCTTTTAATTTCATATCCGAGCCAGAGTCTATCCTTAACAAAAGCTTCAAATGCCATCATCGTAGCCTATCAGACCCTCCCCAGAGCCCCCTAAACCATCACCGCAATTGATTGAATCATCTTCACGGTCCACCGGATCTTCACAGTCCACTGGAGATGCCCCACAGTTTGCTGGAGCATCTTTGCAGCCTACCGGAGAATCTCTGCAGCCTGCTCGGGTACCCTTGGTGTTACCTGAACTTGAAATTGTACCTGCGGTACAAGCTCCTCCACGCAATCGATATAGTCAATCTGAGAAGCTACTTCTGGCTCGACTGTGTGTACTTCATGGAGGAGAATTTTCAATTCAGGGAGGACGTGAGCGGTTTTGGTTAAAAATTCAACAATTGTTCTCAAATGTGTTATCCCGCCCTGTGAGCAATCCCTGAAGTACGATGGCACAGATGCTTGCCAATTTTGAAGTAAAAGTTCATCAAGATGTGAAGGAAAGTGGAACTGCTCAGACTGATGGAGAGTATGAGCAAACTATGGCGCAATGGAAGGTACGGGTAGAAAGTGTAAGTAAATACTCATATAGATTATTCTATTAAAAAAGAAAATTTTCTAATATTACTAGAGTGGAGATGGGCGAGGCAATTTGAGCTCTCAAGGAGAAGCTGCAAAAGCGAGAAAGTTGAAAGACCAAGAAGCTGCAGAAGCGTGTAGGAAATGACTTCTTTCAACTATGAGGAAAAAGAAATTACAAGTCAGCGATCATCGCCCTTGATAGTCATTATACTGAAACCGAAGAGAGGAAAGGGGATATGGAAAAAGTAAAGGAGGACAAATCTGAAGGATTACGGGAGAAGAGAAGAAAAATTCGTGAATGGGGAGAGCTTTTAGATACCAATTTGGCTGAAGAAAGTAGTCGTCTGACTACTATTCTTGAATGTGTGGCCGATACTCTGGTCCCTGATAGCGGTTCTACTCAAGAGAAAGGAGGTCAGGAGCACATCTCTGAGAAGGAGGAAATAAAAAATCGTCTTGAGAGTGTGGAGGAACGCTTGGAAATAACAGAGAAGGCATTAGAGGAAGTGCAAGGTAATACGGTGGAAATCTTACGGATTTTGCAATCCAAATAGTATTATTTTATTTTTTTCCTTTACACTTGATCTGATATGTACAAGTATTCTTCCACACTTGGAGGAAACAAATGATACTTTTCTGAGATCTGATTTCCCCCTGAAATACATAAAAGAATATTGCTTAACAGAGTAGCTGTCATATAGTATCCTGCAATTGGTAATAGCCCTGCTTTTAGTCCTGACTTAAAAGAATTTAACGCCCAGTAATTCACAACTCATGCAAATCCCCATACAACTACAATTTTCTCACCAGATATGACTAAATTAGCAGCTTCTTCCTCCTTGGTTAATGGTTTATTAACCCACTCCACAAATGGCCTCATTACTCCAAAGGCAGGTGCATACGCTGAATCACCATATAGATACAATCCTTTATCCTCTGCTATTCTACTTACTTCAAACAAATCCTGCAAGATTTCCACAATCGCTGATGATGTCTGTACTACCCAATCTCCTACTGGGCCTGGAACTGGACCAATTAAAGAATAAAGTAAACCATCAGGAGAAACAATACCTTGAAATTTAACTGCATGAGACTTTTTATATCCTGAATAAAAAGTAGCTTGGTTTTCACCTGGACGACAAAATAGTCTCATAGTACCATTAACAAAGCCCCAGATTCTTTCTAATCCTATAACATTTTGTATTGCCTTTGCATACTGTTAAAGTATGGTTATCGTAAGTCACCTTTTATCCCACCTAAGAGTCTCCATATATCTTGAAATAAGATATGTGATGGTGGCATTAAAAATGACTGAGAGCTTTGTGCGCGAGCATTGAAAGATTTTAAGACAATTTTTCAAACAGTGTGGATAAGAGAGTCGATAGAGTAGGATACATAAGGCTTCTTCAGGATGTGGATGGAAGTGGTATCCATTGGACTTAGTGATGGCCACAAGCATGATCGAGCAGATCATTGATGTCATACTCGACTATGATCTGATCGAGAGGAAGCCATGATCGAATGATCGATGAGCGGATACATTATAATCGAGTGATCGATCATGATAACTGCTCGAGTATGATTGAAGATGCTCGAGTATGATCGATCATGATGGTTGCTCGAGTATGATCGAAGATGCTCAAGTATGATCACAGATGCTCAGGTATTATTGAAGATGCTCGATTATTATAAACTGCACATAGTTGGTATTTCTTTCACAAGGCTGATGTGGTTGAGACTACAGAGCTCAGTTTTGACAATTTCAATTGTCATAATTGTGTTTCCTATCCTCCATATAGGATATCCAATATCGTCTACTGTTAGGCGGAGACAACTTGATAGACTTCAAAGTTGTCTAAGCCAATCGAGATTCCTTTCTGTAGACGGAGATTGTCAAGGAAGGCTCGGATTTTGCTCGTTTCGTTTATGACTACTAGGAGCAAAGTAGAATAGGTAAAGTAGGGTAGAATCGTAAAAACAATATTATATTATTAAGGTCTCTTCTCCATTGCTTGATGATGTCTAAAGCTTGGAAGACACTTCGATATTTATATTCCGCATCTGAGTGTTCGCAGACTACATCTATCTATCATACAACTAGTACTTCTTCAATCGTAATTCGCAACGTCGAGTTTTCTTCCAAGGTGCGAATACCTGTGGACCCTGAAAACCATCACACCCTCTTCGGTAATTACGATATTTCTTCTTAGGAAATGTATTGTCCCCAATAGTAATATACCGATTAGCAGAGTCTTTAGACTTATGGCCTAGTTCTTAAGTTGAACTGAGTTGGCTCCAATTGTCTTCGCCATTGATAAAATGATCAGTTTTATCCACAGCTATATCTGCAAAGGTGGTCATCATTACCACTATCGTAGGTTGTCTGACTCCAATCCTTTATAACTCCATACTCAACCAATAGATTTTCTCTGGATGACTTCCTATTAACTCGCAGGAAGCTATTCCACCAGATTGGTAATTGATCCCTCAGTTGGCAACCCTTGGTTGCTCTCTGGGCAGTAGGTTTCAGTAACTATTGTAGTATTGAGAATCACCCCATGACTACGACATATTCCGAAACCCAGTTGCAACATTCCGTGAAGTTTATTGGCTTCTTTGGTAGTGTCTTTTGGAGTTCTAGACTGTTCTGGTAGATGTAAATGTATTGGTCTCTAGTAGAGATCCTTTACCATTTGATACCATCTCTTTGTGTAAAATCGTCCCATTACATACGGCCCATACCAAAGGTATCATGTCTTTGGAGCCAAGTAACTCTCTGAGTAGTTGACAGAATCACTCTGTTCTACTTCCCAGACCTAGCCGAAGATCCCGTCTCATATATCCTGCGAACAGGATCCGGTCGAACGGACAGCAGTGACGTACACGGTATTATTCTAACACCTTCAATTCTGTAGTAATATAGTCACAGGACGCAACTGAAATTGATATATATGAGGACGTGCGGGCCCCGTAAGGGAGCCGGAGGGGGGTGTTGGAAACCAGAGATTCCGATTCCAAGTGGGGTTACCCTACTTAGGGTAATTCCTAGGTATCAGGTTCTGGTATTCCTAACATCTTCTGTATTTCTGTGCATCAATACCATAGCCTATAAGATTCTAGTATCTGAAAATTAATCCATACAAATTATAGCCTCCTGGTCCTCACTTTCAGCTGCACTCTCTCCATCTACCTCATAGGCCTCCTCCTCTCCAAGCAATTCCGCAGCAAATTCCTCTGGCTCATACTCGATTAATCCAAGCCATGCTTTGCTGAGCATGAGAAGCCGAACAGTGTTGGCATTGAGGCGGTTTCTTTTTTTGGTAACTATATCCCCAGCTATAGAAACGGCTTGCTCAGATGGAATGCTGTATAATATTCTTAATGTAAGGACAAAATATATGTAGATAGAAAGAGTATACCTAGTTGCTGGAACAGCAAGATAATCTCGTGCCATTAGCGCTAGATTTGAGAGGCGATGTTCATGTAGTTTCCACCATTGAATAATATCTATATTCCGGTCAACTCGAGGCTCACGAAGGTAGATATCAACTTGGAATTCAAGAAGATCTTCATCTAGTGGATTCTCCTGGGAACCGAAAACCAGCTGCTCATACCGGCTTCTGTTTCTCTGAGGTTCTGAGTCATGCAGATTAGCACCATCGATCGTAGGTAGTAGTTGTAGCTTACTCGATATTGCTGTAGTCCTGGGTCGTCATCCTGCCTGTCTTGCATATCGAGTGCTGAAGATTCTTATAAATTTCTCACGCGCATTCTGAATCCAATTTGATTCCTACTCCAAATTGCGAAACAGTTGTAACTTCATTCAGGGATCCAGTATTGTTGCAATTACCTGGCCTGTGTATGAGTCAGTCTTCACCCAATATTGATTTAAC